TTTGGACTTTTTCCCTCCAAAATTATAAGCCAAATAAACCTCTTTTACTTATAAATTATCCAGCATCAGGTTTTCTGTTACAGTACCACAAAATAGATTAATACAATGTTTATGAGGTATATAAAAATCTTACAAGGACATTATGTGCTTTGTATTGAGAAATTAAATTTGAATTTATTTTAGCTTGCTTGAACAAGGAAATGCAATAATTATTTGAAATCTGGTTTCTAATGACATGAATGGAGGAAAGAGTGGTAAAGAATTAGTGAAGGAAAATAAACTAGCCCTAAAAAGTACACTATGGAATAAAAAAGAAAATTTCATGAAGTTTTCAGTGGGTTTAAAGAACTATAAGTCAGGTGCAGATATAAAGATAGACAAACTTGGATGAAGACAAAAGATCAATTTTAAAAAAAGCAATGCACTGGATATCTTATTGGATAAAATGAAATATGGGGTCACATAAGATGGCCTTGGAAAAAGACTACTTGTTTTGAAATCTGGACTTTAGCTTATTTAAGCTATCTTTCACATTTTTTATCCAAAATGAAGACAACAATTCATTTCAATTGTTTTGAGTTTATGTAAGATAATTTGTTTATAAATGTGTGGTGAATTAGATAAATATTTGATAAATATTACTTTGATAGTTTGAAAGAATTGCAAAAGGCTTGCTGGGAATGGTGGTTCACAGCTGTATTCCTCACACTTGAAGGCTGAGGCAGGAGAACTGCAAGTGTGAGGCAAGCGTGAGCTACATAGAAGTTTTTTTAAGATGAAACTGCATCGCATAACAAAACCCTGACTCAGCAAAACAAAACAAAAAAGATATCTAAAAAAAATCAAACGTGAGGCCCAAGGGAGTGAATTTATGTACTTAAAAGCAGTTTTCCTAGTTTGGGGGTACACTGGCATCTGTTATTATGCCTCCTTTGAGACTGGCTATTTGTTCTATGAATTAGGAGTTTGTTCCTAGGGTTTGCTTAGTAGTATTTTATTGGATAGATGAACCAAAAAATAAAATTTTAAACAAGTCACCTGTTGATAAGCACTTAGGTGGCTTTCCAGGTTGAGACAATAAGTATTTTTAAAAATATAATTATATAATATAATTATACTTTATAATAATTTTTTAATAAAATTTTTTACAACAAAAACCACTAGCTATAGATGAGAAATTTGATATCTTGGATTTCATCAGAATTAAAGATTATGTTCTGTAAAATAATCCATTAAAAAAGCAAAAAAGAAAACCAAAGACTAACTGAAAATAATATGTAATCTATATATTTGACAAAATATTTACATTTATAATATATAAAGAACCCCCTAACATAAAAACCAAAGAGCCCAAGAACAATGAGTAAATGATTTAAATAGATATTTCACAAAATAAAATACTGGTATGAATAATAAATATGAAAGTTATTTAACACAAACAATCTATACAAGTTGAATCTTAATGAGATTCTTTTACATAATTAGTAGAATGGCTAATAAACAATTGAAAACCAAAACCAAAGCTACTACTCCTGCACAGGTAGGACAGGCAGAAAGCCTATGAGCTGCTGGTAGCAATGCAGTATGGTAGAACCATTTTGGAAAACAATTTGCAAGTTTCTTGTGAAGTTAAACATTCAGTTACCATATAACTGAGTAACTCTACTCTTCATCTACTCCCAGATGAAAACATATGTCCACAGAGCCTTGTACATGAATGTTCACTTACTTTACTTATTATTGTCCCAACCTGGAAGCCACCTAAGTGCTTATCAACAAGTGACTGGCTTAAAAAAATTTTTTGGGTTCATCTATCCAATAGACTACTACCCAACAAACCATAGGAACAAACTCCTAATTCATAGAAAAATAGCCAATCTCAAAAGCAGACAGAATAAAAGATGCCAGGCATAAGAGCTTACATCTTGCTATGTTTTTCCTGAACAGGTAAAACTAATCTATAGTGACAGAAATAAACTAAAGTAGGTTGATTGGGGTCAAAAGAAGGGATAGGATTGACTGCAAACCTTTGAGATAACATTGTAGTTGTGATGTTGGTGATGCTTTGACTTTTGTTAAAACTCATCCACTTAAAAGGGTTTCAAATTATTTTATGTAAATGTTACCTCAAAGCAAAATACTGAAAATGTTTTAAAATGTCATTCATATAAAGTTAAGTAGTTCATAAAAAAATTTAATAAGATGCCCAGACTTAAAATATAGCACCTAGTTTATTTTCCTGAAATAAGCTATTTGAAAAAAACCTCTTTACTGAAAAAGAAAAGAAAATCGAAGTCTTGAGGTCTCCAAAATGTAAATTGTGAGTTGCAGTACTGCTCAAATAGACATTTGATGAGGAAGCGTTCAATACGGTTAGTTACTTCTCTGTAAAATGCTCTGCTTTGCAAAGGGGTTGAGATGCTGCAAGAAAATGGAAAGGCATTATTAAATGTAGCATATATTTGCCTTTCACCACTGATCTCAGTCATTGAAAAAGTATGTACAATTTAAAAATGACAACAATGTATTGTACAGAGCAAAAGATTCAATAACTTGGAATTAAGTCACTCTTTACGCGTGAAAGAAAATCATTAACAGGATAAGTGCGCAGGTAGTAAAAATTATGTGGAGTAAGGGTGGACTAAATAGAAAAGGCACTGAAATATCAGCTCATGCTCTGATAATTCTGGAAATACTCTTTATGTTTTCTATTTAAAATGGCAGAATTATAAATGGGACACACATATCATCCAAACCTCTGGAGAAAACAAAAGAAAAATAACATAATCCAGGTAGGAAAAGCCAGATGAGAAGGAAATACAGAAACATACAAAATAAAAAGTGTAAAGTGTGTAAAGCATGTAAGAACAACAATATTAGATGAAGCAATAATTCACAATGAGTTAAATTCTCCACGCACCATGTAAAATTATGTAACATACCCAAAGAAGCACTTTGAATTGAGAAGTAGCTGATTTATTTATTTTCCAGTATTTCATCTTAGAAAATGCACACCTAATAACTATGCAACAGCAAATGGTCAAGAAGAGGACGGAAGAGACAAGACCGTAGAAGAGACTTCAAGCAAATGTTCGTTATAAAATCTACAAGGATGTGGGTTGGACTTTCTCAGGAAATGACCCTACTGCACAGGAAGCTTCTTTCTCATTATGAAGGGTCTATCCAGAAGAGGCATTTCTCGTCAAAGGCATCTTTATTTTTCTTTGCATGCCCAGAAGTGTGTACATCTATGTGTACTTGAAGACGTTTTCATCCATCTGTGGAGGAAGAGAGTAGAGTTTCTAAAAGTCAAAAAGCGTATCGGTAATCCTGGTAGCAAGTAAAGAAGTTCCTAATTACAGAACACCCAGACTTGATTTCTGCATCTATCAAAGAATAGATGCAGAATAGAATAGTCCTTACCTCATGTGTGGTAAGGACTGAATGTTAATTTATAGGAGGAATTTATAGACATGTAGAACAGTGCCTGGAAGAGAGAAAGCACAGTGCACATGTTTGCTATTACTACTTGTGTTTCTCAGTTGCCTCCTAACAGCAGAAACCATGTCTGTCTTATTCACATTACATGGAACTACGCTTAGCTCAGTAAGTATCTGTTAAGGAGTACACACACCTGCTATGAGGAAGACTGAGGTAGAAAAGGGTTCCTGTGTGGGGTGCCCAGGTAGGCAGGCCTCTGAGGAAGGCAGAGGAGAGATTCAGTAGAGCAAGAAAAATAAGCTGAGTGTGGTAGTGCTTGTCTGTAATCTCACCTACTCAGGAAGAGGAGGCGTAAGGATCTCAAGTTTAAGGCCAGCCCAGGTAAAGGTAGCAGTGAGATCCTGTCTCAAAAACAAAATAAAAACAAAAGAACTATGAAAATAGAAGAATGAGCAGGCACCGGTGGGTCATGCCTGTAATTCTAGCTACTCAGGAGGCAGAGATCAGGATTGTGGTTCAAAGCCAGCCTGGGGAAATAGTTCACGAGACCCAATTTTGAAAAAACCCTTCACAAAAAAGGGCTGGTTGAGTGGCTCAAGATGTAGTTTGTAGGACCTGAATTCAACCCCCAATACCACCACCCCCACCCCCACACACAAATAGAAGAATGAAACCTGTTGAAATTGTTCTCTAAGAACGGGGGAGGAGGAAAGAGGGAGAAACATGGAGGCGGCAAATCTAACTAAGATATATTGTAAGCACAGATGTAAATATTACAATGTATCCCCCTGTACAAATACTATATACTGATAAATTTTTTTAAAAAAGCAAGGGCTGGGGGCATAGCTCAGTGCGGATCACTTGTCTAGCACATATCAGGCCCTGGGTATAATCCCCAGTACCTCAAAAAAAAATATATATATATATATAAAACTTTGGCTTGTGGCTTTGAACCTCCTGACCTCTCCTCCTGAGTAGCTAGAATTACAGGCATGACCCACCTCATTTTCATAGAATTCTATGAATATATATATTCTATTCTATATATATATATATATTCTATATTCTATTATATATATATATATATATATATATATATATATATATATATATATATATATAACAAAGAGCACTGTTATCTGCCTTAGTAGCACCATTCTTTGATATAACAGTCCCAGATTGCTAGACGTCTGCAGACCAGGAGACTGAAAGGAGGGGAACAGCAGGGGAGACAGAGATCATGTACAAAAAAGGACAAAGTTGATGACATCAAGGATAGCTAAGGAATGCCAGCAACATCATTTTTTTTTGCAGTACTGGTGTTTGAGCTCAAGGCCTTCACCTTGAGCCACTCTACCACTTCTATTTTTGTGATGGTTTTTTTTTCAATAAGGTCTGGAGAACTATTTGCCTAGGCTGGCTTCAAACCACAGTCCTCCTGGTCTCTGCCTCCTGAGTAGGTAGGATTACAGAGGTGAACCACTGTGGCCCGGCACTAGACCTTATTCTTACCCTACCCACTCTTTCCAGGCCCCAAATAAATGATGACAGGAGCCAGAGCCAGGCCTGATGTGCCTTTATTTCTTTCAGTTATGCTTGCGGCTGGAGTGGGGGTGGGGGAAGAGCCCATGACCTGGGCTCCCTGGTGACCAGGGCTGATGATACCAGCTGCCATAGGTGAGGTACCAAGCAAAGGTGCCCACTGCAGCACCCACCACCTTGTGAGTGTACTGGTGGAAATAGATGACAGTACAGAGCAGCAAGAAGTTCCAGAGGCCCAGCAGCAGCACATTGAGCAGGAAGACAAGGCGCAGGGGTGTGCCAGCCGGCAGCCCATGGGCCAGGTACTTGGCGAACACTGCTGCTTCTTCGGCCATGAGCAGGCAGCAGAAGGTGAGCAGGAAGGTGTGGGAGGAGACTGTGTAGCCCCGCCACTGGTGGCCAGCAGCCAGACAGCTGCGGCGGTCAGGCAGCTCATGGAGCAGCAGGCCCTGGGGTAGAGGCTCAAAGCAAGAACCAGTCAGGTCCTCGATGAGGAGGAAGGCCCGGCCGGCCCCTCGCCACACAGCTGCCCCCACCACCAGTCGGCTCAGGTGTCTGGCGGTCACTGCCACGCGCCGTGTAGCCAGGAACACCACCAGCAACACAAAGCCCCCCAGGAAGGTGCATGTCCAGCCCCATGCGGAATTCACAAACTTTCTGTGGGCAGAGAAGAGGAAAGGCTGCTAAGACCCCCAACCCATCCTCCACCCTGGATTACTCTGTCCAGTTCTGCACATCAGCAGTGCTTCTCCTTCCCACACCCTTGACAGCCCCAGTCATTTAAACTAGTCCATCTCATGCCTAAACTTGGCCTTCTAGGGCCCACATTTCCTCTTCAGCCCTATTCCTGACTTGCCCTGTACCCCCAGGCTCTGTTCCCCTCCCCCTCCCCTGACCTTCTCAACCACCTAGCCTATTTTTAGTGTTCCGACTGGCAGGAGAACAGAAGCCCGAAGAAGGGAGCTGGGCTCTCAGAGTGCAGGGAGCCTGCTCCCAGGGCTTTGAGTGAACTCACATGTTGAAGAAGTTGCCGTGGCTAGCGAAGATAGTCCGAGAGTTGACATGGAACTGCAGAAGGGGTCCGAAGATGACCACAGCTGCCAACCAGGCATGGTAGAGGCGCCGTAAGCAGGGGCTGCCCAGGAGGCGGGCAGCCTGTTCACTTCCAAAATACAGCAAGGCAGAGGCCACCCAGAGCAGCACCTTGACCAGGCAACCCAGCAGTGCCTGGATTTGGGCCCTAGCCCCCACCACCGGCCCCCGCTCCATGTTCCCTCCCCTCCCCACTAACTGCCTGCTCTGCTGGGCAGCAGAGGAGGGGCTGATCCCCCCAACACTCTGCGGACAAGAACAGACAGTGACAGGTGTGGCAGATACAGGGCAGAGGCCTGATGGCAGCTGGCAAGCCACGGAGAGAGGTGGGGGGCAGTCAGGGGCCAGGATGGCGTGCTGCCACGTCAGCAGGGTCCTGGCCTTGGGTGTGTGGAAGTGTGTTCTGACAGCAGCCTGGGCCCTTTCCTGTTAGCTCTGTGTCCTCAGCTCCAGCCACATTCTAATTCATAGCTCAGGGTTAGGCCTGCTGTTCAAGACTATTCTTGTCCACAGCCTGCTTGAGTCGCCTGCCTCAGTTTGGTCAAAGTCCCTCTACCGCTACCTAAATTCTAGCATGATTTTACTCCATAGAAAAATCACAGGCCATGAAGATAAAACTAACCAAACCTTGGAAGTCATTAAAACAAATCTGTGTCTTATCACCAAAGTGGTCTGGTTGTTCTCCCTGGGTTCTGAGCAGCAAGGTGAGTGTCTACAACGTTGTGTCCACCTCAGGCCCTGGAAAGCCTATTAGCTGGGATGTCCTTTCCAGTGCTATGAAGCCAGCAGCTTGCCCAAGCTCCAACTCCTGTCTGGATGGAGGGGGCTCTAAGGGGCTAGTTTGGTTGAGGACAGCTGTGCGAACTGGTGGTTGTGCAAACTAGATGAATATGTCAGGCATCATATCAAATGGGGCACTGTTTGTGTTTATGATGGGGTTTAACTCAGGCCCTTGCACTTGCTAAGCAGGCGCTCTACCACTTGAGCTGTGCCTCCCAGCCCAAGGTTTTTTCATTGATCATGTATCACTTTGTAAAAAAGGATGTAAGTCAAAATTGAAGAATGGAGGTATAGCTCAAGTGACAGGGCATCTGCTTTTCAAGTGCAAAGTCCTGAGTTAAAACCCCAGTTCTACCAAAATAATAAATAAAATTCATTTTAAACAAAACTTCCTGGGAGGAAAGATGAAGGAGGGGGTGAATTCAACTATGATAACTTGTCAGTACTTTTGTAAATGTTGCAATGTACTTCCAGTACAATAATGAAAGAAAATTTTCCTGGGCTGGAGGTATAACTTAAGTGGTAGAGCGCCTGCTTAGCAAGCACAAAGCACTGAGTTCAAACCCCAGCACCGGAAGTAAAAAAAACTTCCTGTGAATGGGTGCTGGTGGCTCACACCTGTAATCCTAGCTACTCAGCAGGCAGAGATCAGAAGGATCATGGTTTGATGCCAGCCCAGACAAATAATTTGCGAGACCCTATCTTGAAAAACTCCATTACAAAAAAGGGTTGGTGGAGTGGCTCAAAGTGTAGACCCTAAGATCAAACCCCAGTACTACCAAAAAAAAAAAAATTCCTGTGATCATAAAGCCCTACAAGTTAATTTTTTATTTTACATCAAATTTCTATAATTATCAGTAGTACTAAATATATGATTAGGACAATCGCTTACACATTTTGATGACTGTATTGGAAATGTTTCCTACTGAGGCGAATGGATAGTCCATGGACCCTTGATCAGATGAGGCTCAGTTTTATAAATTCCCTCTTAATTTGACACCCTGGAAGTAATACAAGTTCTGTGTGAGCTGGCAAAATGGGAAGGAGATCCGGCATGACAACTTCACAGTAAAGCTTATTTGAGGAAAGAGAACACAGAGGCTGGGGATCTGGAGTTACTCTTTTTTTTGGTAGTACTGGGGTTTGAACTCAGGACCTCACACTTGCTAGGTAGGTGTTCTTCCTGCTTGAGCCACTCCATCAGCCCTTTTCTGCGAGAGATTTTTTTTCCAAAATAGTGTCTTGTGAACTATTTGCCCAGGGCTGGTATTGAACCACAATCCTCATGATCTTTGCCTACTGAGTAGCTAGGGTTACAGGTGTAAACCACTGGAGCCCAGCAGAGTTACTCTTTTAATATCACCTATTTGGGCCAGATGTGGTGGTATATACCTACTCCAGCTAAGGCAGGAGGACTAGTTGAGTCTGGACAACACAGTAAGACTCTACCTCAAAACAAAAAAGTCCCTGTTTGTGAAACAGGTACCCTTTTACCTCTTGTGGTAAGTCCATGAGCACCCCTGGAAGTACATTTAGAAAGCATGCATGACATGTTGTGGAGAAAGATCTAGATATAGTGATGTGAACTCCATCCGCCTGACTTTTAGTTTGTCTGAAGCCTGGGGTTCTGAGTGGGAGGTGTCAGTGTCTGCCAGTTTCTCTGGTTCTGCATTCATGGGCCACCTCTTCTAAAGTCTGAAATAGCTCCAGAGTAGAGCTAACGCAGATACTCTTAGGTTCTATCAGAAAACATGCTTATCTTCTGCTATCTCCACGTCTACTCTGATGCTAAGTTTCTGAGGCTGGTGGGGGAGGGCCTGTCTCAAGACTTGGTTAGAAAATAATTTTAATATATTTTTTTCATCTTGGGGCATCAAAGGGATGTTTTCTTCTATAGAGTAGGATAGCTGAACACTTTGGTGAAACTATTTTCTTGAAGTAAGAAAACATAAGACTTCAGATAGGAAAAAGAACAAGACAGAAACACTGAGCTAGGTTCCCACAGACAGTTTATTGGGGGAGCCAAAGCCAGTAAGAGGACAAAGGAGTCCTACTTCAACCTCCTTTCTTGAAGCTGCTGGTCTCCAGCAGGATAATCAGGACCCTCTGGGAAGCAGGGCCTGCCCCACGCTGGGCCCCATGGAGCTTCTGGGAACTCCTGCCTCTCACACAGCCGTCAAAACTCAAAGACCCAGGTATAAGAGACACAGTCCCCACCCCTGAAGGGTGCTGAGGAAACACCTCTCTCCACCCTGCCCTCTCCTGAAGACCTCAGGAAGAAAGGTCCTCTGATTGATCAGTCTAATCCTCAATGTGATGACCTGGGAAATGGACCCGGCTGACAGTTCTCTTGCTGGCAGAAGCCACACCCCAGATAATGGCAAGCTGCCAGACTCTGGCTTGAGATAGAGACCCAAGCCAAGTGGGTGTAATGCCTGAGGAGACCACTCAGCCCTGTGGGATGGATCGGGGCTCAGCTGGGGGCTCAGAGCCTGTTTTCTCGCCATCCAATCTCTGTATTTCCTCCACATATTCCCCAGTAGGGAAAAAGAAGGAAGGCAGAGAACTTGAGAGGTTCACCCTGTAAGGGGCTGGAGATCAGATCTACTGGGGTGAGGAAAAGGCCACAGAGGGGGAGGGCACTGAGGTGGGGGCACTGGAGCATTCTTCGGACTCTGGCATGTCATCTTGGAAGTACTCAGCCTGGCGGTACTGCCATAGACGCAAGTTTCCATCCCACTGCAGGACAGAAGGTGGCAGGAGTCAGAGGGTGCTGCCCACCCTCCCAACCCAGGTCCAAGTTCCAGACATATGCCAGCCCTCCTAACCCTTGCAACCTCACCGAACTGCTGACAATCTTCTCTTCAAAGGGATGCCAACTGACATCACGCACACAGGCCTTGTGGTTGATCAGCTTCTTCACAATGTGGCCACCGAGGAGGTCATATACTGTTCAGGAAAGGCCAGAGTGAAAAGGGGTCGCCACAGGACCTTCAAACCACTCCTCAGCTACCCTGAGTGGCACCACTGCCCTCCTTCTCAGGCAATTTGCTCCTAGTTTCTCATGGGAGCAAAGCCCACCTAGAGGTCTGTTATTTCTGTTTGTTTCCCAGTCTTGTCCCTACCTTGAGTTGAGGGTAGGAAGTATGGGTATCCCTGGCACTTAATTAAAATTCAGAGGCCTACAGTTAAGAAAATGCAGTGGTCTTAAAGTTTTCAACAAGACACTTTTGGAAGGCACCAAAGTGAACTGTAAGCTGTCGGTAGGTGTGTGTACCTCTTGTTCCTTGTCTGGACAGGGTGCATCTCTCTTTCTGCACAGGTCTCTACCTAAGTACCTACATAGGTATTGAATACTGTTAGCTGCTTCTATCTTTACCTCTGCTTGTGTTTCTTCTTTTGCATTCTTCCTGCTTCAATGACTGCATGTCCTTTACTATTTGATGCTGTCTTTTTGTGCTATTCTTTTTGCCTTTGTTCCCTTCTACCTCTCATCTGCAACCCCTTTCCTTCACTAGCTAAAAAACAGAACTAGCCAGGCACTGATGGCTCACACCTGTAATCTTAGCTACTCAGGAGGCAGAGATCAGGAGGACAGGCAGTTTGAAGCCAGCCTGGGAAAACAGTTCAAGACACCTTGTCTCGAAAAAATCCATCACGAAAAAGAGGTGGTTGAGTGGCTCAAGGTGTAGGCCCTGAGTTCAAACCCCAGTTCTGCAAAAAAAAGTAAAATTGCTTGTGGAGGGTTGAAGGTGTGGCTCAAATGGTAGAGTGCCTGCCTAACAAATACAAAGCCCTGAGTTCAAGCTCCAGTACTGCCAAAATATATAATAAAAAAAATGCTTGTGAACAGAATGTTTTTTATTTATTTTTTTAAGTCTTTCTGCTCCAAGCTAAATTAAATTTCACTTATAGCTGTCATTGAGCTTTGTAAGATGGTCACTGTGTGCTGGGCGCCGGATGCTCATGCCTGTAATCCTAGCTACTCAGGAGGCAGAGATCAGAAGGACTGCAGTTCAAAGCCAGTCCAGACAAGTAGTTCACAAGATTCTATCTTGAAAAAACCCTTCATGATAAAGGGCTGGTGGAGTGGCTCAAGGTGTAGGCCCTGAGTTCAAGCCCCAGTACCGCCAAAAAAAAAAAAAGATGGTCATTGTGGTTACAGGTAGAATGTCAGAGAAATACTCCTGCTCCTCCTAAGGCCTCTGTTCTGATATAATCCTTACCAACCACTTTGCCAGTGGAGCAGCCACTGTAGATGAACTGCTGGCCTGTGCTATGGGTTGGGGAGAATCGGCAGCGGATGAGGGTGTGCAGCACTCCATGGCCCCGGTAAGTCATTAAGGAGCTGTCCCCTGGGAGCTTCAGTTTCCGCCAGGCTGGGTGAGAATGCACAGAGAGCCTTAGATTAGGTACTTTGCTTTTGGATTTTCCTGTACCACCAAGTCCTTGGGAAAGGGCAACACTCAAAGATACTAGCCTATCAAGCCTTCAACTGTTGACTCTTTTCAGCCCCCAACCGTGGAAACCTCTGGCTACCTCCATGGTTCATCAAATAAAGGGTTAATGCTTTGACAAGGGATTGAGGAGAGGGTTCCAGGGCTCTCAGGTAATAGACAAATCTACTGTGCCCATGCCAGGCTTTACCAGTAATTAAGTATTTTAACTACCATCTGTGATTCTCAATCTCTAGATCTCAGTTCTACTTCCACTCTCACCTTTTTTGGGCACCTGCTGCCAGCGGTAGTCCCAGTTTTGCTGTGTGGCAGCCTGGCGTGAGGCTTCCATGCCTTCCCGGCTGGAAAAGCGTCGGATATCCCAGAGCTTGATGGTCTGGTCTTTGGAGTTGGAGATGAGATAGCGGGCATCACCCTATGAGGCCAAAGATGGAGAGAAGCATCGGAGCTTGCTAATGTTAGTGCCTGTCAGTCTAGCTCCCTGCTTCAGCTGAGGGGTAAGAACTCTAGTCTTCTGACTTTGTTTGCCTCCCTTTCTTTATCCAGGTGAACTCCCCTTTGATGTTCTGCTTCAGATCCCATCCCCTGCCTACATTCCTTTCTTTGCCTAGGGCACTGGCTGTATCTCCTATTCTATCCTGGATTAGACTGTCCTCTACTTTTCTTGTAAATAAAGCCCTGCCCTGTTCTTTGCAGACTGGCAGGTACAGAGGGAGCTCATGTTTCCTGGGTTAAGCCTCTTTCCTAAACTTTAGCTCTTACATACCCTGGCTAATGAGGAACTTATCAAGCTCTCACACCAGTCTACTTTCATGCCCTCCTGAACCAGAACCTTAGAAGCCTGGCTGTGTGGTCTTCTTTCTCTGCCCACCTTGCTGTCGATAAACGTGATGCCATCCTGGTGTCCGGCCAGTGCACCCACAGGCTTGGGGTCATCCTCTCGCAGGGTACGTCGATCCCATACTTTACAGATTGCATCATCTCCACCAGAGAACAGGATTTGGGAGCTTATATCAGCAAAGGCCACTGCATTCACATCATCCTCATGAGACTCAATCTAGGGGAGGAGGAGGTCAAGATGCTTGAGATTTCCTTCCAGTCTTAAAGCAGGCCAAAGACCAGGAGGCAGAAGCTCTAAGTTTCAGGAACAATACCTGAAGGGTGCGCTGGTTTTGTTCTCGATCGAAGACATATAGGCAGCCATCATTGGCCCTAAAAGAGAACAGATAAGTAGGGTCCTAGAGCCAGGACTGAGAGGACTGCTGCTGTGTGCTCTGGAGAGGCCTGCTGAGAGGCCCTACAGAGGGGCAAGTCTCTGACTTGCCACCTCATATTGGGAAGATGGTAAGCAACAGGTGAAGGAGATCATAAGCGTTGACCCTGGAGAAGGCTCGATGTTTTCTAGAGCTGCCAGTGTGGTCTCTGAATGTCAGAACTGGTCTCCAATAGAACTCCTATCTCATTAACTGTACGCACCCTCCTAGTACTTCTCGCCCATCTGAGGAAACAGCAATGGAGAAGACAGCAAAGCGACGCTCATCTGGTCTGAGGGAAGCAAAGAAGGAGCTGTGTTAAGTGGGTGTCCTTTTGGCTTTTAGTACTCTACACAGAATCTGATGAGGATTATAAAGAAGAGGACAAGGAAGGCCTTCTAACACATGCCAGAATGCAAATCACCTCTCTGAGAACCCAGAAATAATCCTGCAACCGTCTATTTTACTCTGACCTTCTGGCTGACAGGATGTACAGTTCCCTCCCAGGAATCCACACAGAGAAACTTGCAACCAGCATACTTTTCCCTCTTAGTAAGAGTTCCAGTTCAAGAAGTTTGCTCCTAGCCAGGTGCCAGTGGCACACACCTATAATCCTAGCTACTGAGATGGGGGAAGATTAAGGTTGAGGTCAGCTGGGGGAAATAGTTTGTGAGACCTCCATCTCCAAAAGAACCAGAGCAAAATGGACTAGAGGTATGGCTCAAGCCTATTTTCCAAGTGTGAAGCCTCGAGTTCAAACCCTGTCTCACCCCAACTCCACCCGCTCCCCCTAAAAAAAGATTTGCTCTTTGAGAGCATTCCTTGAGAAGTTTCAGAAAGTATGATAAAAAAGGGAAGCCAATACCTTAGATCCAGGGCAGTGTGTGTGTCTCCTTCCCCGTAGATGTTGCAGATATGAACTAGCAGAATACAAACAAGAATCTTTCAGGGATGGGTGGAAAAGAGTGAAAGTGAAGCTAAGGAAGAAACAGAACAGGCCAGGCATGGTGGCACATGCCTGTAATTCCTGCACTCAGAAGCTGGAGGCAGGAGGATCATGAGTTCAAGGCTGGTCTGGACTACATAGTGAGACCTTGTCTCAAATCTCCCCTCAAAAAGAGACAAAACAAAGGGTGAGGATGTCAAAGCACTTTGAGAGTGATTTTCCCAGGAAAAAGGCATAGACTCTTCCCCTCAAAAAGAGACAAAACAAAGGGTGAGGATGTCAAAGCACTTTGAGAGTGATTTTCCCAGGGAAAAGGCATAGACTCTTGTTTCAGAGGAGAAGGCACATGGAGACCTTAAGTCAGGCTGCAGACAACAGAAGCCTGGAACATACTCACTATAATCAGACCAGCTGGAGTAGAGGAAGTGGTTTCCATCAGGGGTGAAGGCCACATCCAGAACACTCCAGCCTACATCCCGGGCCTTGATGCTCTTGAATTTATGGAAGCGGCCATACCGGCAGTCATACAGTCGGATTGTCTGGTCTGTACCAACAGGGATCAGGCAGAATTATGGAGTAGCCTTCCTAGATCAGACTTCTCTCACTCAGTGTAGCTGTGGAGTCTCCCCTTTATCAAGGGAAGCCTACTTTAAACATCTTTAAGCCAAGTTTTGAGCTCCCTGGAGTCTGGGGCATTCTGACATTCTCCCTTCCATCAAGGGGAATGTTCCTTGTTCTAGGGAAAGGCAGTGATATGACCAGGTTCTGGTACCTTGGCAAGCAGACATAAAGATGTTTCCATCTTTGCTGTAGATGCCACAGAAAGCCTTCTGAGAGTAGGTGTCAGTGAAGCTCAGATCATTGGGCAAGAAGCTGGGGAAGCAGAGCAAAGGGAGGATAAGGGGAGCTCAGGATGAGGAGAATCCTAGTTAGCAGAATGGAATGTAAGTACATTCCCTTTTGGTATTATGTATAATCCTGTCTTTCATCCATTCTATCATCTTCTAAATTTCTACACTTTTTCCACTCTGTTTACTCTCAAAGCTTCAACCCCCCTTTTATCTAAGCTTAGAGTATCTCTGAGGATCCTTTAACATCTACCCCTTCAAACTTTAAGAGACAAGGCTGGAGATGTGTCTCAAGTGGTAGAATGCTTGCCTAGCAAGCGTGAGGCCCTAAGTTCAAACCCAGTACCACCAAAGAAAAAGAAGAAAAGAAAAATTGTAAGAAAGTTTAGAAGACCTATCTGGCCCTAAGAGTCTCTCCACCAAGCCCCATACTCACTGAGACATCACTCGAGACTGTTCTCCAAGAGAGAAGCTTCCTCGGTGGCAGAGGCCCCGTTCTCTCTAAATGGAAGGGATTGGGGAACATTGCTAGCAAAAACAGAGGGCCACCTCAGTCACACCAAGCCCCCTCCTTCAAGGATATTGCTCTTGCTACAGAAATGGAGGTTCCACAGCACTCGGGTGTAGGCTGACTAACTCTCCAGCTCCAGCTCTTGAAGCTTCCTTGAGAAGTTTACTTTCTTTTCTTCTGGGGCTGGAAGAACTTCTGGTTGCCTCAGCAGGCCTGCTGGAGGCTGGCAGGCTGTGGAGAAGCCTACCTGGTGTAACATTTGAGGAAAGCTGTGCTCCTGGGCTGCACGTCTAAGCTCCAGCCGCCCTGTGGCCAATTCCACCTGTGTCTTGATGTCATTGCATTCCAGCTCCCGGGTGTCAGGAGTTGCATCCACTGCAAGTACCAAAAAGAAGTTTCATGCTTAGGTCTTCCAGCCCAGAAGACAGCCTCAACCCATTCAATACAGCTGAATGCACTAAGGTTATGAGGGCTCTTTCATATCCTGAATTATTTCATCTTCTTTACTTAACCTATTTTTCTTCACCAGACTAATAAAAAGGAGTTTTCTAGTGAAAGTCTCTTTTAATTTTAAGGTCTTGGACTGTCTTTCCTCTTACCAGGTGGGTTATATCGATCCCCAAGACGACCGTCCCAGGCACTGTCATGCTCCTCTTCTGAGTCCGAGAGGGCCTGGATGAGTTGCAAGTTTGCTGCACCTCCTCCCTGCACCAACCTCACTTGTCCTCTGTGGAGAGACCCCCATTATAAAGGAGGAGACCCCCTCCCTCAAATTCAACCAAAGTCAGAGTCAATGGCTAATCCAGCTCTCAGAACATGTGATATCATTTTGAAGTTTGAGACTGACTAGATCTTGACTGCTATTTTCTTTTGTTTGTTTGTTTGTTTGTTTTGCATCACTGGGATTTGAACTCAGGGCCTCAAGCTTGCTAGGCAGGTGCTCTACCGCTTGAGCCACTCCACCAGCCTGGCTGCTATTTTCAGTGTTCTATAAGCCACAGTAGGAAACTGATTTGTACTCTTAGAGCAAAAGCAGAGAACCCCAACATACTGTGGAGGTTGACCTACTAAATTGATTTCCCAGACAGCTAAAAATTTTAGTGTTAAGGATTGAACCCAGAGCCTAATGCATTCAAGACAATCATTCTCTACCACTAAGTCACATCCCAAGTCCAAAAGCTAAAAATTCTGAGAGCATTTCAAGAACTGATCTGTGCTGGAGGAATACAGCATGGAACACAACATTCTGAAGGAATCTCCAAGCTCATCCTCTTTCCAAAGAACCATAAACAAAGAAACAAAGCCAGATGCACCCTCTTCCAGTCAATTCCTGGTGATCACTCTTTTTAGGGCATCCTTTCCTCAAAAACAGAGCTATGTAGTTAGGTCAATTTTAACTTGTTTTTCAAAGTAAATCCACACTGCCTCACATCACATGTCAAGTGTTCTAACACTCCCTTCCCCACCTCTTCTCTTTTCCTGTCACATCTCTCTTTTCTCATGAGGGTCTTCTCTTTTCTTTCCTTTTACTTACTTGGAAAATAGATTACATTGTGTAGTTATAGTCAGTCCCCGACTATAACTTGAGTTCCTCAAACACAAGAGTAGGTCCTGTTGGTGACCTGCCCCACGTAAGAACTCTGAGTGCCATGTTCAAACAGAACAGACATCCTGAGCTAATCCCATTCCCTATCCCTTGTAATTTTTCCTGCTTGAAGTTGAGATCAAGAGACTATGGTGGCACCTCGTGGGGTCATACCAGAGGGTAAGTTACCTTCGGAGGAGATAGGCCAGTACCTGGGCCAGATCCACATCTTCATCCTCCTCTTCTTCTTCCTCCCTCCTATGCAGGCCTGACCCTCTTCGGGACAAGCCTTCGGAGGGGTCTCCAGACCCAGATCCTGCACTGCTGCTGTTCCGTGATCCCATCTTCTGGTCACAGCATCCTTAGGTCCTTTTCAGGGGCTACTCCTGTCACTTCCTTGGGTTTGGTGAAAGCAAAGCCTGCTCTGGAAACACCAGGGTCTTCTGAAAATGAGGCAGTGGCTAACTTTAAGGGCGGGGGGGGGGTGACCCTTCCTAGGGACTGGGAGTCCTCTTTAGCTTATGACAACTCCCAAGCCTCCGGGAACACGAACCTTTCCCAATCCTGTGAAGCAAAGAAAGCAGAGTAATGCCCAAGGCACAACCCTAGCTTACTAATTCCTTTGAATAGGAATTTCTCAGTTTCCTATCCCAAACTCACCTATCAAAGTCCCTTGAGGGAGTGGATTCCCAGGTAACCTCTCAGGCGGACCAATCAAAATTCCTCGCGGAAGAACGCGCCTCACTAGCTTATCTCATCTAACCAACCAGAAGCCTTAGGACTCAGAGACCACCTCCCCCACTCCGACGCCCCCCTTTCGCACCAATCAGAACGATTTCTTGCCAGAGCCGGCAGCAGCGACAGCCAATGAGGCTAGAATTCGGCCTAACACCTCCTCCCTCTTTGCCTTAGGCCCACGTGGTGTGCCGGGGGTGTGTACACCAAGCGAGAGAGGAAGCCGAGAAGCACCTCCCCCTGAAATCGGTGGTTACCGCCCCGCGCGAGACCACCCACCAGTCAAGAGAGATCGCAGGACCCGAACCGGCGCAAGGCCTTGTTTACACCGACTGCCGCTGCAGCATCGGCCAACCACTCCTCCGTCACGAGCCACCTTCGTCACACATCTCCCGGCTTCCCGGAGAGCGGGTTGCCGACGTCACGCGACGCTTCCTGATGGTCCCGCCCCCTTAGCCCGCTGACTGGTCCGTTGAGCACAGTGATTGATAGGTGGGCGGGAGAAAGTGCGTGAGGGGCCTAAAGGGTGGAGACAGGGCGTGAGCTAAGAGGGGCGTTCACGTTTAGAGAGAGGACTAAGTGGAAATGGCTACTTCGGAATTAGAGATAACGGAACTAGATGTATGGCTGAGAGGCGGGGCTTACCAAAAAAAAAAAAAAAAAAAAGGCAAAAACGGTTGTTGGCTCGCTACCAAGGGGTATTTTAACCAAGAGAAACGATTTGCTGTCGGTCCCTTATGACCTTTTGGCCTCGGCCTTTTTAGACAATATCCCAGACACTCCTCTTTATCTTTCCCCTCCAGCTCAAGCCATACTTTCATTGCAGGCTGAAGCTCCATCGGCCCTGTCCGAATTACTGTCCGGTGCCTTTGCATTACAAATAGGGAACCAGGTCTCCACACCCTCCTTTCTGTATTTAGCTTGTGAAAACCTGTTCTCGTGGGGATAGCCCTTTCTAGACCTCCCTTTACCCGTGCCGGCCTTTTTAGACAATCCCCGGCTTCCCTCCGCGGTCTTTGACGACGCTCCCTAACACACCCTTGGGCCTCTCAGAGCCTTTCCGGTTGCGTCAGTCCCCTCAGACCCTCCCGGGGCCCTCCGGGATTTGCAGACCTTCCCTAGGCCTTCTGTCCTCGCGCTCCGCCCCGGGCCGCGGGTCCACGTTGCGCACGCGCGCCGCGTCCTGCCGGCTCCTGCGGGTTGATGAGTAACAGGGCTGAGGTTCAAGGCTGGGACCTGCCACGTCTGGGGACCCTGCCCAGGCCGGGGTGGGGGAGGTGGGGAGACGTGACCTCGCCGTGCGGGTGCAAAGGCCGGGCTCCGAGCTGCTCCTGAGCCCGGGAAGTGCGCGAGCTCCCCTCCTCCCTGCGCCCCCAGGCTTTCCAGCTGGGACTCACTCTTCCTGGGAGATCAAGGGTGGAGGCCTGGGGCAGTGTCCCTGGTCTCCTGGCCGCTAGACCGAGTCGATTGCCCCGGCCTGCTACTTGGGGGTGCGACCTGTACGGTGCAGCAAAGAGTCTCACGCTTGTTTTCATGTGCTGCTTGTCATTGCCTTAAATTCTTAACATTTCTTAAAACAAACTTCCCGCGTTTTCATTTTTGCTCGGCTCCACCTGTGCCTAACATTTATTGAAACTAAGATTCTGTGGTTCTCCAGCCTGGAAAACCCAAAAACATTTTTAAAGATAATTTTTTCCCTTCTCTTTACTCCTAAGTTCAAGCTGTATTATTTTAGCTGATTTTTTTTCCAGTCACCATAACTTTTCCTTACTTCACGTTCTCCTTAGTTGATCTGTTCAGGTATTTTTTTTTTTTTTTTTTTTTGCCGGTACTGGGGCTTGAACTGGGGGCTACACCTTGAGCCACTCCACCAACCCTTTTTTGTGATGGGTATTTTTCGAGATAGGGTTTCCGAGAACTATTTGCCCAGCTGGCTTGGAACCAGAATCCTCCTGATCTCTGCCTCCTGAGTAGCCCAGGATTACAGGTGTGAACCATTGGCACCTGGCTTCAAGTATCTTTTTAACAGTATTTAATTCTTAAGAACCCACCAGTGGTCCACCATTGTTTATTGCTTCATGTACAGACTTTCAAACCTAGTCTGTTTTCTAATATTCTCATTTTATATATTTATGCCGAGCAACTATGCCAAGAAATGTTTTGCTTATATTCACCTCTGCACCTTCCCAGAATTCCTTATCTTAGGGAAACTTTGTCTTTATCTTTACCAAACTCCCTCTCAGCCTTGCACTTTGACCCAGTGGGACCACTTCCAATGATCTACGTTGGGCCTGTGTAAAAATTTAAGTTCTGCATAGCAATTAGTGATATTAGTGAAATACTGGAAATATCCAAATATCCTATAATTTGGGATTGGTTAATATATTATCGTTCATATGGTAATGACATGGAAATACCAGGTAGCCATTAAAATGATGTTAGTTGACTGAAATGTAGCTTTTCCTAGTCCTGGGTTCCATCTCCGGAACAAAGGTGGAAAGGCGGTAGTCAGTCCTGGTGACATGTTCTGGTGGGTGCAAAACCAGTGTAAGGTCTCAATTTTGTGTAAAAAGTATGAAAATACTCAGGCAACAATCACCAAGATATAATATGAACAAAGGATTGTGATTAATACAATACCTACTGTCTAGAAAAACAAAAGATTCTGTTAAGCTCATCTTCTTAACTTTTTTTTCTTTGAGACAGGGTCTTGCTATGTAGTCTGAGTACTTATGTGTGCAGCCATACCCAGGGTAATTCCTTTTTTTTTTTTTTCAGTTCTGAGGGGCAGGGGTTGATCTCAGCCTCCCACTTGTTAGACAGGCACTCCACCACTTGAGCCATGTCTCTAGCCTCAGTTTTTTATTCTTTTTTTTTTTTTGGTGGTATTACAGTTTGAACTCAGGATCTCATGCTTGCTAGATAGACACTCTACCACTTGAGCCACTCCATCCGCCCTTTTTTGTATTGGCTGTTTTAGAGATAGGGTCTCATGAACAATATCCTGGGCTGACTTTGAACTGTGATCCTCTTGATTTCTGCCTCCTGAATAGCTAGGATTACAGGTGTGAGCAACTGGCACCTGGCTTGGTAAATGTTTTTAGAACTCAGGTTTTATGATTAAAATGAGTCCTCCTTAACATTAAATCAATTGCCAAGCAAGTAGGATTCATCTCTGGATCCACTGATTTTTTTTTTTTTTTCTCAGTGCTGGGGATCAAATCCAGGGCCTCATGAATGTTAGACAAGTGTTCTATCACTGAGCTACACCCTTAACCCTATTGATTACTATTTGTATATAAAAGGGTTTTTTTTGGCGATACTGGAGTTTGAACTGAGGGCATTGTGGTTGCTAGGCAGGCCGTCTATCAATTGAACCACACCCCAAGCCTCTATAAAAGACTTTTTAACCTATGAACTTGATTATGTCACTTGTGTCCTATAATTTTTTTAACTGTGCATGAACATATATATTTTAGGGTATACTATGTGTTCTATTAAAAGGAATAAAATGACAATTAAAAAGTAATTATAGTTAAAACTTTTTGATACACTCTTGGCTTTTCCCTGCTAGATTTTGAAATTTGGCACATTGGTTGGTGAGTTTGTAAAGTGCTTTGCATTTGGGAAGCTTCTGCTTTCCCAGCTATACTTAAAGTCACCTACAGCCACAAAGAAATTTTCTACCTTCACCCATTTTAGAACCTTCTCTTGTAATTACTAAGTAAATGTCAGCCAGTTGACTTCCTGTCTGACCTGTCTTGGTCTGTTTCCTGTTCTTAAGCATCTCCACTAGAGGGCAGCCTGGGCTGGAGAGGAGAGGGAAATCAAAAGTTTTCATTCTCTGGCTGACCCTTTCCAGCCTCTCTCCCATTCCAGCCCCCAGCCTGGTGACTGCACAGAACTCCCCAATAAACATGTACATCTTTGTGCAACTTGAATAGAAAGTTGCCTTCTAAGTGATTACTATCCATAAACATATTTATACTTTGTCTTCTTGTAGTATTCTCTGTAGCTGGAAACGGAGAAGTATGCTAATTTACCCAGGGACTTACTGCACATGCCTAGCAAGCTCAAAGCCCTTAGTTCAAACACCAGTACCACAAATAAATAAATAAAAACAACAAAGAAAGCTGAGTGATGAGGAATGAGCTTTCCAAATGCACTCATGTCCTTAAAAACCAGATTTTTGTGTGTATGGAGGATAGGAGCTACAGATGTAATATAGAGGAAGTAGAAACTCATTTAATCCTGGTTTTGAGCAGAAAGTATCAGTATGACTGACGTATTTTGTCTTCCTGTATTGATCCACAGAAAAGGTCTAGAAACAGTGACCAATCCAGGACAATGAAAACTCCCCGCACACTGACTGTGTTTTCTGTCTCTCACTCTGAGAAGGGTGTCTCAGCTGGGTGTGGTGGTGGTGCCTGTAGTCTTAACACTTGGGAGGTTGAGGTAGGAGGATCCCTTGAACCAAGGAGTTCAAGACCAGCCTAGGAGAGAGAGAGGAGAGAGAGAGAGAGAGAGAGAGAGAGATGGGGGGTCTCATTATGTTGCCCAGGCTGGCCTCAAACTCAACATCCTGTCACAGCCTCCTGGATGGCTGGGATTACAGATGTGTACCATCATACTGGTCAGATGGCAGTCTTAAAATACAATTTCCCACTGAAAGAGACCAGAGCTTCTTAGAGAAATGGTTGATGCCAGGTCTGGAGCAGGAAATATAGAAAATGAATGTGGAACAGTTTTTCATGTCGGATATCAAAGAAGCAAGCAGGAACTATCATGATCATGTCAAAAGGACTTAAGAGCTGAGCTCCCATGACCAATGGTGAGACAATTTGAGCATTAATAAAGATAATTTAACAAATACTAAACGTTTAAATCCAATAGTTCATAATGCTGTGTGTACATGTATAACTAATTGCACCTTTTGAAGAATAACAGGAAACCAAGCCATTATTTTGAAGATGGTAAAGAAAGGAAAAGAATTAAGCAGTAATCCTGCTATTCCTATATAAACTATACCACAAAATAATGAAATAGAAGATAAAGAAAAACATCCCTTTATGAAATTCCAATTATTATGATAGAACTTGAACATGGCTGTTGAAAATTTGGAAAATAGGAGGCGAAACTGAAGTGTCTCGGAACCCACATCTGGGTAATAAAACTGTAAAAAGCATGGCAAGGAAGCAATTATTGTTCATCACAATTTCACTTATGGCAAGAGGAAGGGGCTAGGACAGAAATGGGGAACATCGGGTAGACAGCCTTTGGCAAAATTCAATTTTTTTCCTCTGGTTAGTGGTTTCAAAGGTATTCAGTTTATAATTTATTAATCTATATTTATTTTATATGGTTTATCTGTTTTGTTTTTATTTTTATTTTGATGGTACTGGGGTTTGAACACAGAGCTTCATGCTTATGGGTCAGGCACTCTACCACTTGAAACATGCCTCTTTTATTTTTTAAAAAAAAAGGTTAATTAAAATGTGTTAGCTGGGTGTGGTGGTGAACATCTGTAATTCCAGCATTCAGTAGATTGACATAGGAGGATCAAGAATTCCAGGTCTTGGGCTGGTGGAGTGACTCAAGTGGTAGAGCACCTGCTTAGCAAGCATGAGGCCCTTAGTTCAACCCCCCTCCACCAAAAAAATTTTAAAAAGCTCCATGGGCTACATGGTGAGATCCTGTCTCAATAACAAAAAATGATTGTTTTATGACTTATCTGGAGCAGAAAGGCATGAGGTTCAATTTTGTTCTGACAAAAATTTTTTTTTTTTTTTTGTAATACTGGGGTTTGAACTCATGGGGTTTGAACTATTTGCTAGACAGGTGCTCTACCACTTGATCCACACCTTCTTGTCCCTGTGTATTTAGATACCAGGAAGTTTTCTGCAACCCCATTTCCTGCCTGCATCTTTCCTGGAGGGACTTATTTCCAAATATATATTTTCCTTTCCTAAATTTTGTTTGCATTGTTCATTTCCCTCTTAAACTGTAGAGTCAGCTTACAGGACTTAACTGTAGTCATGATGGAGTGGTGTGGTGATGATGCTTAACTTGTATTAAATGGGTTTTTGTGGCAGTCCTAGTTCTGAGTGCTTAACTCCACTGACTCTTTTAGTTCTTCCAACAACACTGTGAGATGTGGGCAAAATTCCATTTTACAGATGAAGAAATTGAGAAGGACCCGTGGCCTCATTATCTCTATGTGCTTAGTATCTGTGTTATGCTCTCCTGATGGTATTGTTTCAGTTATCACACGCTGTTTATGAAGCTGAGAGTTTGCTGCATGCTTATTTATATTTTTCATTTTTTTCTTTCACATAAAATTGTTTATATTTATGGAGCATTGTGACGTTTAGATACATGTATACCATAATGTTCAAAGCAGTGTAAACATCTATTCAAACATTTATTATTTCTTTGGGGTGAAAACATTCCAAATCCTTTGAAACCAAAACCATATTGAAATATGCAGTATATTGTTTTCTATAGCCATCTTACAATCGCACACCAGAACTTATGTCTCCTATCTAACTGTAACTATAACCACCTCTTGATCAACCTTCCCATCTCTCCTTTCCACCAGCTGTGTGGTTTTCAGTGCAGCATACTCCATTGCTGTGTTCTAGTCAGCCATTGGCGTTTTCTATGAGAACACGTTGTGTTTCTTCTTTTTTTTAAGTTCCCAGTAATTTATTTGTTGAGGTTGGTTCTCTTTTTCTGAGTTTGTACACTCAGCTTGACCCTAATGGGAAGTTATCCTAAGTGAGTGCCTTTGATTTATGTGGAATCTTTGCTCTTTTGTTTCCTGGTTTCTCTCTGAAGTTGATTTCAGAGTTTAGGCCAAGGTCAGACTGTGGTCCCCAGGACAGCAGCAACAGCATCACCTAGGATCTCATAAGAAAAACAGAATCTCCAGGCTATCCCACACCTGCTGAGTGAGAATGTACATTTTAACACAATCCACAGGTGATTAATATGTACTTTCAAGTTTGAGAAGCATGGAACGGGTGACTTCTAAGATCTTATGGTTCTGGAACTCTATGCTGCTCTGCAAGAGATAGCTACACAGTTATTATTTAGGCTTTATTGTTTACTGTGTGGCGTTGGCCAAGTTACTTGACTTTTCTGTGCTTTTTTTTTTTTTTTTGTGGCACTGGAGTTTGAATTTGGGGCCTCACACTTGCTAGGCAGGTGCTCTCACTGCTTGAGCCATTCCACCAGCCCCTTTCTTTCTTTCTTTTTTGCAGTGCTGGGGATGGAACATACCACTGGGCTACACCCCCAAGCCACCTTGGTTTCTTTGTTTTGTAGACGGGGTCTCTTTATGTAGCCAGGTTGGCCTTAAACTCATGATCTTTTTGCCTTGGCATCCTAAGCAGTGAGATTATAGGCATGCACCACCATACCCTGCCCACCTTTGTTTCTTAACTGTAAAATGGTACCTTCCTCAGAGTTGTTTTGTAATGTGCTTCCAACAGTGCCCGGCACACAGAAAGTACCATACAAGTGTTAGCTGTCTTAATATTGAGTATCCTTTCATGAATACTTTGAGTACCATTCTAGATGAGGCAGGGGGAAGAAGAGGTTTGAGAACCAACAATGATATCACTTTCGCTGTAGAGTGGAGTTATAGAGGCTTTTGCATGTCTGCGTGGGACATCAAGAGTTTAGCCAAGGGCACTGTACTGAGAAGCTTGCTGAGGCACCTATCTTTTATTGTTTTTTCTTTTTTTGATGGTACCGGGGCTTGGACTCAGGGCCTTGTATTTGCTAGGCAGGTACTCTACCACATGAGCCATGCCCCCAACTCAGAGGTCCCTAGCTTTTTAAGACCTCAGGACATAGAGTGGATATGTCTTCTAGCAGTTACTATTTGTGTGACCCAGTGGTGATACTGGTGTTAGCAGGAAGCCTGTGATTTAGATAGGAAATAAAAACAGCACAAATATTGTCTAAAATAAATGAGCATCACTTATTATTGGACAGTGAGGGAAGGTCTGTGGCCTGGTCTCATGACACTCGGATGTTAATATCAAATTGCTCTTATTTTCTGCAAGTGTAGGGGTTCCCTATTCTCAGATAGGGATGTTATGCTGTCCTGCTAGTCTGGAGCCTTAGGTCACATTCTGTGCACACGTCCTTCCAGGGCCTCCAGCTCGGCCAACACCTCCTTGGGCAGGTCCTGGTTGACCTGCTCTGTCAGGTAACTCCGAATATCACGAACCTCCTGTTCCCAGAAGTCTTTGGGGAGTGAGAACAGCTGAGTGGTATCTATGGGTTTGAGACCACTGAGATCCAGGGCTCCCTCCTTTGGCACCAGCCCAATGGGAGTCTCTCGGGCACTGTCTTCCCCCTCTAACCGCCGGCAGATCCAGTCTAGTACCCGAGAGTTCTCCCCAAAGCCTGGCCACAGGAAATGGCCTGCCTCATCACGCCGGAACCAGTTGACATGGAAGATGCGGGGTAGCTGGGCCCCCTTGTGCCCCTCCATACTCAGCCAGTGTTCCAGGTAGCGCCCAAAGTTGTAGCCAAAAAAGGGCCGCATGGCAAATGGGTCATGCATGATGATCTTCCCTAGGGCGGGGAGAAGAATGGGTAAGGAATATTCTTTCTGGGAAAGAAAAGGGTACCCTATATCCAACTAGAGGAAGTTGGTTCAGTTCTGGGATATCCTAAAGGAAAGCGAAGAGAAAATGGGGGAAAAGGGAGAAGTGGGAAGGGGTGGGGCCGCCAAAGACTCTCCAAGTGGGCAAGAGGAGGGTCTAGCTCAGAAGGGGTAAGGAGGAAAGGAGCGATGGGGGATGTGTGCTCACCTTTGTGCTCAGCTGCAGCAGTGGACTCAGAGCGCATGGCACTACCCACGAACACCCCATGACGCCAGCTGAAGGCTTCATATACCAGGGGCACCCCTAGAACACCAATTCATAGGGTCACACACAGCCCTGTCCTTGGACTCGATCTCTGTCCCTTCTAGTGATCGTGACTCTCAGTCTTTCTCTCTCTCCTAAGGACCTCAGTTATCCCATTTCCAGACCCCATGTCTCCCAGAATTCTGCATTCACCAAGGGAGAATTCTGGAGACAGACTATAGTTGAGGCCGAGGCTCCCTAAGTTTTAAATACAGGAGGGCAGTGGGCCTTACTGTAGAGCTAGACCTTTTACCAGGAAGACACAGAGCCCACATGTTGTTTACCTTTGGGTCTGCGACCTCCAAAGATGATAGCATCAATGGGGACACCCTCTGGGGCCTCCCAGGCTGGGTCCATGATGGGGCACTGCCGAGCAGGAGCACAAAAACGAGAGTTGGGGTGTGCACAGGGTTCCTTGTCACCTGGCAGAGGAAATAAAATACCATCACTTCCAAGGTCATGTCCACACCCAATACACATCTACAAGTATACACACTCTTGCACAATCTCTTTTTGCCTCACTGGCTACCCACAACCTTGTGTGGTAAAGAACAGACAGAAGGGAGCTAAGACATCTTCCCCAAAAGATAAGGCTATTTATCCATAATGGTGCTGTCAGAGAGGAGTGGGAGAGGAGTGGGCTCATGAGCAATGGAGTTAGATATTGGCATAAGATATGATAATTTTTCTTCTAGAAACTGTTTATTTACAGAATTATTTCCCAAGCCTAAAACTGAGAATGTTACGTCAGTATTTCAAACAATTGGCTTTTTTCTATAAGCAAACCTGGGAAGACAGACTCTTCTGAGCTATCAAAATGTAAACAGGAATTGATTTTTTTTTTTCAGTACTGGGGTTTGAACTCAGGGCCTTGCTCTTGCCAGACAGGTGCTCTACCACTTGAGCCATTCCCCAGACCTTTTTGCTTTAGGTATTTCTTAAATAGGACCCAGGCTGGCCTGAACCTGGATCCTTTTATTTAGGCTTCCCTTATAGATGGGATGACAGGTGTGTGCCATACCCTGCTTTTATTTGTTGAGATGGGGGTCTTGCTAACTTTTTGTTCAGCCTGGACTTGATCCTCAACCCTCCCACTCTCTACCTCCTGAGTAGCTAGGATTACAGCTGTGAGCCACTGTGCCTGGCCAGATAGAAATTGATTTTAAAGCTAAGAGAGTTTTGGTGATTTCCCTGGGCGTGCTTAGGTCCTGGTGGAACGGTAGGTAGTGCTTGAGGAACTCCAACAGGGATATAACCTAGGCAGGTGTAATCTGGGGCACTCAGATCATCTGGCACATGGTCATCCAGGTGCCCTGGAGAGGGGTTGGGACCAAGTCAGTGGCACATATGTGATGCACCACCATGGGGCCCCTGAATGGGCACAGTACTTTCTCCAACTGGAGGTTGGCTGGTCAGATCTGGGGGGTGGGGAAGCCATGGAGCCAACACTCTGCAAATTCTGCCTTCCTTCTCAGAGAAGAGCCATCCTTCATTAGCTCCCAGTGCAGGACCTAGCACAGGGTATTTATTGTTCTGAGAATTGAAGCTGGGTACAAGATGCCCTAGTTATACCCGTGAATTTGGAGATGATGAAAGGGTTGGGAAACTAGCCTGTGGGGAAATATGAAGTTTCTTGGATTTCTCAGTTGAATGGGGAGGCTGAGGGACACTGTTAGAGAAAATGAAGGGTGATTAGACAAGGAGACTAACTGCTAGGCCCACCTGGCAAACTTGAATATAGGCTTCAGTGACTCCAAGGCCACCCTCCCCTGCCATGCTCTTTTTCAGTCCCACCCCTCAGTTTCTGGGCTCTCTGACTGCAACTGCAGAAGGCTACAGAAAGCTGATGGTCCAGAGTACAATGCTGGAGAGGGCATCCATGTAATGACAGGGTTGAGAAAGTAGTTTCTGAGAAAGAGTAAAGTGTTAGCCTGATTTAGTGTGGGAAAGGTGTTGGAGGGGCGGGAAGGATGAGAGTAACAAAGCTGGAGTTTAGACAGTGGCTATTATGCAGGGGACAGTGGAAGTCAGTGGCAAGAGGAGTGTTGGGCAAAGGAGGAGACGGACTTCCTCCTCCTTTCCTAATGGGACAAATGTCATGGATTATGTTTTGAGCTCAATTCCTTCTGTAATAATTTTCAAAACAGTCCTCCTACTTCCTCTCTTAAAAAAAAAAATCCAGCTTATAGTTTCGAGAATTTGCTATCTATTCAGGAGTGTGTTAACTCCCCTGTATGTATTATTTAATTTAGTCCTCCAACAGTCTCATGAAGTGAGTACTATAATAACTCCTATTTAACTGGTGGGGAAACTGAACGGAGGTTAAGTAATTATGCAAACCCCAAGACCAGTGATTGGTAGAACTGGGACATGAACTGAGATCTTAGCTGGGCCTGGAAACTAAACATTCATACTTTCCTGTGCTTCCCAGAACATGGTTGGGGGCTGTGGAGAAGGCTTTTCCATCATTAAGGTCCTGAGCCCCGGGGCCCATATCATAACTTCCCCCTCCCACATACCAGGTTTCCAGGGTTTGCCCAGCCAGGAAGTCACGGTGATGTCAGGTGGAAGAGGCTGGTCAATACCCTCCCAGTACACGCCACCATCGCTGGTCTCAGCCACATTGGTGAAAAGAGTATTGCTCTGGATTGTGGCCATGGCATTGGGATTGGTGATAGCAGAAGTACCAGGAGCCACCCCAAAGAAGCCATTCTCAGGATTGATGGCCCGGAGTCGACCTGTCAGGAGGAGAAGTTAAAGAAAGGAAGGACCAACCAGGGAACATTGAGATATGAGGCGAAGAAGGGACTGCTCTACCCTTCTTAGACCCTAGATCTGACAGTAGCAGCTAGGCCACCCGTGGCATGGGGCAGGGTGGGCTGTTCAGGTAAAGGTTCTCACTGGCAAAGCCCACCAGGATAACTGAAGCCAGAACCAAGAGTATGATCTGAGGGCCCCTCACCTTCACTGTCAAACCTCATCCAGGCGATGTCGTCCCCCACACACTCTACTTTCCAGCCTGGCAGTGTGGGCCGCATCATGGCCAGATTCGTCTTGCCACAGGCACTGGGGAAGGCAGCTGCCACGTAGCGCTTCTTCCCCGCAGGGCTGGTGATACCCAAGACCTGTGCATTGGGGACAGAGGGAACAGGAGGTTACCAGAGGTCAAGGCATGGTCTGCATGGGAAAGGACAGCTATGGGTAATGGGGAGACTGATGTTTATTCACTAAACAGGTACACTGCTCTGCTACAGGCCTGGGGGAGCAGTTTTCAGCAGTCTGGAGCCAAAGCTTCAGGCATTTGGAAAGAGTCCGTGCCCTCCAGCCTGGCACCTGGCAGGAAGGAGGCCAGGCTGAGGCAGACTGGCCAGGTCCCGTCCCTGCCCCGTCCCCCACAGCTGCCCAGTTCCTCACTAGGCCCTCACCAGCATGTGCTCCGCCAGCCAGCCCTCATCCCTGGCCAGGCGAGAGGCGATGCGCAGGGCAAAGCACTTCTTGCCCAGCAAGGAGTTGCCACCATAGCCGCTGCCGAAGGAGACGATCTCCCGTTGGTCTGGCACGTGGCCAATCAGGGTTTTTTCTGGGTTGCATGGCCACTGGCTCACCGGATCCCCTGGGGACAATGGGGTCATAGGGCTGCTGGCAGTGGCATCAGGAAGTGGGGTGTCGGGGGCTGAAGGGATCAACAATTGGCAGGAGAGATTCTTGGGAGTAGTCGCAGTACTCAGGCATGGGTGGCTAAAGCCTCTTGCTCAATACCTGTCATCTCTCATGCCTCTCTTGGACATGGAGACTGACTTTTCTCAATTTGGTACAAACTGCTCTCCAAACACAGTCTCACCCCCAGCCCAGATTGCTTTCCTGGGTCTTGGGAATTAGGCTTTCATTTCTGTCTTCTGACAGGTTCTCAAGGTTTGTGACTGGGTCTGATTTGGAGTTCCCTCTGTGTGCAAGAAAGCCTCTGTGTCCTCCTCTGGGTGGGGTAGGTGCTCACCTTTCCAGGTCAAGGGCTGGCCCACAGAGTGTAGACACTTGACAAAGTCACCATCTCCCAGGGCTTGAAGCACAGGAGTCCCCAGCCGGGTCATGATACGCATGCTTGCTACCACATAGGCTGAGTCGGTGAGCTGCACCCCGATGCGGGAGAGTGGGGAGCCCACGGGACCCATGCTGAATGGAAGCACATACATCGTGCGGCCTGTGGAGGAAAATGTCACTGGGATGAAGGGTTTCAAATCTGGTAATACCGTTAGTGGCCTCTGTGTCCCTGCCCTGGTTACCCTGCATGCAGCCTGGAAACCTCTCATCCACAGCTTGCTGGAACTCTGCTGGGGACATCCAGTTGCCCAGCTGCCCACGGGCCCCACCAGCTGGGAGGGGCACCGTGTCCCGCTGAGAAGGAGTTACAATCACCGTCTTGCTCTCTACTCGTGCCACATCCTTGGGATCTGTGCGGGCCAGCCAGCTGGAAGAAAAGGGGTTGTCAGGAAGATGGTGGCCACAGTCTTTGTCCCCAGATCCATTTTAAAGTCCAATTTTGACAATATGTTCTTTTGTTGGTCTATTTTTTCCCCCATCCAATTATATTTCAGTCCCTTCTTCTAGGCTTTGTCCCATCTAAGAGGTGATTTCCCAAGGCCCAGCCCTCTAGGGATCTCTGTCCCTGGCAAATGCTTCCTGAACTGGTAAGGAAAAGAAAGAAAAAAGAAAAAAAAAAAGAAGAAGAAGAGCAAAGGCTCTTATTTGTATCAGTTTCTTCATTCGTATGAAAATACCGACCAATCCCAGTTTTTTAGTCTGTTTCCCTCAAAGCTCCCATTCCTGTTCATTCCATTGGGACAGCCTAGTTATATTTAATTTTGTCTTGGTGAACCCAAAGTGACCTCAGTCCAAGCAGTGGCCCTTATCTTGTGTGCTGCCAGCCTCAGGGCTTACCAGTTACTGTACTTGGGGAGCTTCCGGATGAGGCCCTGCTGTTCCAGGAGGGCCAGCGTGGCAGTATTCTCAGCCTCACTCCCATCACAGACGTGAACGCTCTCTGGTTGGCAAAGGTGTGCACTGCGCTCCACAAAGTCTCGCACTCCAGCAGGCAACTGGCCCAGGTCTCCACTGAGCACCCGCAGGTTCTGGATGCCACGGTGCGATGACCAGCACCAGGGGCTCAGTCTGTGCCAGCTAAGCCTGCCAGAGAAGGACGAGGGAGGCGATAAGCCAGCTGTGTCATGGAGGATAGACACGTATACAGCATAGGATGGAAAGCTTGTGCCTTGGAGGGCATGCTAAGATCTGCCTGGGTGCAGGCACCACGAAGAGTAGGTCAGAGTTAGTGTGTGGGATGAATTCAGAACACACGCATCTTACGGCCTTTATGATGTATAATGTGAGTGTTTCCTGGTCAGCCAGGGACAGTATTGCTAAGGTAAAGCCAGATGAGCATAAAGGCACACAGCTGGCTGCAGATGTACACATGTAGGCATGCTGGTGTTATTGCGTGTACAGCCCATGCCCATGTTTCAATATGTCTGGTCTAGGTTTAGAAATGAACAGGTGTGGGGCCAGGGGTGTGGCCTAGCATGTGTGAGGCCCTGGGTTCAATCCTCAGTACCACAAAAAAATAAAAGAAAAAATGAATAGGTGTTCTCTGGCCCAAGTTGGGAAACTGCCCAGGTGAGAGTTTCATGTGCCTGATGGAAGCCTCATCCATGTTCTTTGCATTCACAAGTACAGTTTGTGTGTGAATGTTGCAGGACTAAAAGCCTCAAGCCAAGGACCTAGCCTGTGAGGTGGTATAGCCCTCTTCCTGTTCTAGGTTTCTACATCAGGTCTCTATTTCCCTCAAGATGTTTAGGACTCTTACACAGATATAGGTGAGGCAGCAGATCTCTGCTGCCCACATGGGTCAACAATTATTGTATAAAATGCTAGGTAGTATTTTTGAACTATGTGAAAGACTGAACATTGGGGAGTGAATGGTTGGGGTTCATGCCTCAATTCCCAAGAGGGCAGGGTCTCTATACTGTCAATACAGTCATGACCCTAGAAGCAAGGAACAGGTCTGTTCTGATTGGCTTAGACCCAGCGTGGACTGACCCTGATAGCAAAGGCCAAGAGAGGCCCCACCTCCCAGAAACCCACTGCACACCAGGATGGCACAAGCCTATGCACCCCCCCCCCAGTTGTCTTTCTTAGAAGTTTACATGCCTAGAGAGCTTTAGGGGTTGGTGGTAGCGTGGAACATAAGACTGCAAGAAGCTCAGATCTAGGCTGTAACCCTGGGGGAGAGAGGGTTCTCCTTTCTAGTGGAGATCATGGGCGTGTGAGTTTGGGTCTGGCTGGGGTGATTTCAGCCATCTGAGCAGTGTGACCCCAGGGGCAGGGAAAGAGGGTTCCTGGGACCTGGGTCTGATCCTGCCGGGGAGAGTCTTCCCTGAGCATTAATTTAAAAGGCACAGTCTTGACAGCTTCTTTCCTTCTGGGGGCTGGGGTTATTTCTTGTGAAGCCCCACATCCTCCTCTGGTGCCATGGGTGGGACCTTCTCCCTATCCTCCAGAGGCCACCCACATGGGATGGCCAAATAGAACATGTCCTGGGAGAGACACGGGGTCATTCCAGACTCTGGAACAAAAAGCTGGGGAGAAAAGGAGATAGCAGAGAAGAGGGGAGGCTGTAAAAGGGAAGGCCAGATAGGCAGGACAAGCCTAGGGCTCCAAGCTTGCACAGGGGAAGAAGCCAGCCATGTAGAAAGGACAGCAACTTGGTCCCCTCCTCCCATCTTGCTTCCCTCCCTTCCTAGGTGCTGGTCCCTCAGGCTCCACTGGGCTTCCCGCCAGGTTCCAGGCTGGGGGAGGCGGGGAATTGATGTTTACCTTCTATCTTCTTAGGGAACTCTGCGCTCAGGCCCCCAGGAGCTCATGCCCTTTGGCTCCACTGCCCTACTGCTCCTCACAGCACCTTGGGGAGCTGACTAGGAGTCCTCAAGGGGTCTGAAAGAACTACAGGGAAGGCCGATACACCAAGACGCAGGGCCGAGCAAGAAGGGGAAGAAGTTCTGAGAATGGCAGATGGAGACGGCGCGGACAGGCAAGCAAGACAGGGAGGGGTAGGGGCGGACGGAAACCAGAGGAGCCCGAGTGGCTGACTCGGGAGGCACGCACAGTCCTGAGGCCTGGATCGCGACTCAGTCGACCTGCGGGCGTCCTCCTAGGATGGGAAACCAGTGGGAGGCAGCCCCGAGGGGGCGAGCACAGCGGAATGTGCAGGTGGGCCCCGGGCTGGGGGTCACTCACCGCAGGCCGGGGCGGTACACAGCAGCCATGGCACCTGGGCTGGGGATGCAGGGTTGGCCACTGGAACCGAGCGGAGTCGGGGAGAAAAGGAAGGCAAGCAGGGAAGGAGGGAGCGCGGCGAAGCGATTCAACGCTGAGGCTGGGCGGGAGGCGCTTAAAGACCGAGGCCGGCAGCGCAGGGGCGGAACCAAGCTGGTTTTCTCCGCCCGCGGGCAGCCCATCCCCCGGCCCCAGGCTCCAGGCCCTGGCTCGGCTCTGCTCAGCAGCCCCTACCCTTCTTCGTACCTCTAAGCCCATTTCTCCCATTGGAGGCTTGGGTCCACCCCGGTCCCGCCCCCTTTGAGACCACGCCCCCTTATAGACCCCGCCCCGCGCTCGGCCAAGCCACCCTGTTCATGATGTAACTTTGTGGACTCTTGCTCCTGAAAGATAGAGCAACGACGACAGACACTGGGTGGCAAACAACCTAGGAATGAAGGGTGAGGCCTGGGGCGGGAACCCCCTAGAAGCTCAGAAGTTGGGCTTTGCTTTTCTAGTTCTTCCTAAGGACAACACTCCCAGCCTCAGGTTTTTCTGTTTTCCAACGCTCCAAAGCTAAGGTCCCCCTTATTTCCAACTCCTAAAAAAACGCTGTTTCTCCCCTTACCATGAAATTGGTGTAGTCTCTCTACCCCCAGGGACTATTCCTTGATTGTCTAATCTGGTCATTCTCTCCACACCCACCTGAGGAACTCATTTGTCCCTGCCTAGCTGCTATTATCTTAAAGTTCTCAGATAAATTTTCAAGCTGTCTCTCCATTCAGACATCTCTTCAACTTGGGTCCATTGGGGATAGATACAGATAGATAGAGAGATATAGATAGATATCACTCCAGATGACACAGCGCTTCAAATTCAACATATCCACATGAGTATTTGTACAACATCTCCCTGATTTTCCTTTGGCATCATGGGGATCTGACCTTGCTCCTCTTAGTTTAGCCAATTTGTGATTCCTCATTCTTGCGACAGTAATCAGGGATGGGCATGAGATCCCTTTCTGGGCTTTTTTGTTCCTGGAAACTTTGGAAATGAGGTTTTTTTCTGCTAGGTTTGCTGACCTGGTAGAATATAGGCCTGGAGCTGCTGCATGTGACACAAAATATGAACCTGCCTGAGACAGAAGCCAGCCCAGTGGAAGTAGAGCAGAAGAGCAGAAGGATGAAGAGCAATGGATTCCTGACTTAAATTATAGGAATTAATAACTTTATTCTCTTGCTCAAGCTAATTTTAAGTGGATTTCTGTTATTTGCAATAGAAACAATCTTGATTCTCAGATTACTTAGAGTTTTGTGCTGGAACATAGTGGCCAGAGGAGAGCTGGCCTCCAGCCGTGGGCTTGCAGATTGTCTCTATTTCTTCCCACTCAGGCTCCAGCATGTGCTCAACTTCATGTATACTTGGACTTCTCCCCTCTAGGCCCTGCATCTAACCTCTGTCCACACCCACCCTGCTGCAAACAGCTGCCTCTTGGCTGCTTTTTAGCCCTAAAGGTGTGCACCTTGGTGACAGCATCTCTGACCTTCTGAAGGTCATCATCTTCATAATCTTGCATGTGCTCTGTGGTTCCCTATTTCAATGATATAGGGTATTGCCCTAGAGGCAACCTGAATCCATCTGAACTATTCTTTTCTTATTCTCCATAGCTAATCAGATACCAGGACCTTTGGAGTTGTTCTTCTCACCTCTCAAATGTATGTCTATCCCATGACCACTGGGGCTTATCTCTTGCCTGTCTGCAGGTGATGGTTTCCATGTCCTCTTGGTCACCTGTCACTCAAACACCAACACCTCACTCTTTACTAAGCCACTCTCCACCCACCCAACATATAATCTCACTCTGGAGAGTTAAGAGAGGAATACTTATGGTATGGATAGTAGATTCTAGGCCCCATGCAAGCAGTTGTGCATTCATGACCTCATTTAGTTTCACCACAACTCTATTTTATAGATGAGGGTACTGAGCCTCAGAGAGGTTAAGTCATTTGCTCAAAGTCACATCTGGTTGATAGAAGAAATGAAATCGCAATCCAAGTCCTTCTGACTCTAATTTCCATGGTTTTTTCCCAATTGTAATCCTATACTGTTCTCTTGAATCATCATTTAAAAAATTTGATCCTAGGGCTGGAGGTGTGGCTCAAGTGGTAGAATGTCTGCTTTGCAAGCATGAAGCCCTGAGTTCAAATCCCCAGTCCCACCAAAAAAAAAATTAGGTCTTAATACTCATAGGATTAAAATTTCTTCAGGGCTTCCTATTACATGGTATCCAATGTCCTCCATAATCTGGCTGCTATTTATTTAGCAGCATGACATCCACCTCTCCACTTGCCTTCTTTTCTCCCACATACAGGGAAGGAACAAAATTTTTAGTGTTGTTTTATCTTATTCCCCAGCAGTATTTGGCCTATATTAATCACTTAATAAATGTTGGTTTGAATGAAGGAATGAATGAGTCCCACATTTCCAAATTCTTCTCTTCCACCGTTACTTTCCTCTTTAGCTTTAAGCAGACTGAGCAAGCAGCTCTTCTCAGGATTTCCTTGTGTTGCTAATTCTCCCTTAATTTACCACACTCTTCATGTTCAGTTCCCCGCCCCCCCCAGCCCCCAGTCTGTTTCACCAACTGGCACAGTGTCCAAGGAGTACCACCAGGGGGCAGAGTGTGACCACCTTTGCCCTGATCTGTGGGTTTTTTTTTTTTCCTTTCTAGAGACCTTTGAAGTGTCAGACCCCCTGCAATGAACACCTTAGTGCTCTGTCTAGACCCCTCTTTAGGACTGTGGTGCCCATTGTCTCAGCAGCAGCTGAGTATTGGCTGTGGATGAACCCAGTCCCCATTTATTTGAGTCCCCACTTGTCTAGGACACAGTGGGGGGGAGTCCTAGAACCACAGATAGCATCAAACCCTACAGAAACTGTTTTTCCTATACATTTATGTATATACCTATGATAAAGTTTAATTTGTAAATTAGGCATAGTAAGACATTAATGATAATTATTATAGCAATATACTGTAATAAAAGTATCACAATATCTCACTGTACTATATTTATGCTTCTTGTGATGATGTGAGATGATGCAATGCCTACATGATGAGATGAAGTGAGGTGCTATGATGTAGCGTTAGGCCACTGTTGATCTTTGGATGATATATCAGAAGGAGAATCATCACTATTCTTGCACCTTGTGGCCATTATTAAATAAAATAAGGGTTACATAAACACAAGCACTGTGATAATAACTGAGATGGCTACTAAGTAACTAACAGGCAGGTTATATATATAACATGATACACTGAACTAAGGGATGGTTCATGTCCTGGGTGGAACAGGGCATGAAAGTGTAAGCTTTCATCACACTACTCAGAATGGCAAGCAATTTAAAATCTTGATTTATTTATTTATGGAAATACTATTTAATATTTTTGAACTGTGATTGATCACAGGTAACTGAAGCCAGGGAAAGTGAAACTGTGGATAAGATAGACCCACTATACTTCTTTGAGCACTATCTGTGGCTACAGGGAGCTGTCATGCCAAATGCAATGTCTTTTCCTCAGAGGCAGTGTATTTCTGGTTATTAGCTGTTATAGGAGTACAGAAGCCTACTGCCTTGCCTCAATTTGTGACAACTCTGAAGGTCCGTCCCAGCTCTGGAGTGCCTATGGGATCAGCTGATTGCAACTACAATGCAATTCAACTTTTCCCTCTCTCCAGTCCCGCTTTGCTAACTCCCTTTGGTAAGCCACTGTATACAAGTGAAGATGGGCAGATGGGAGGGCTACCTGTTTGCATACAGAGCCCTTTACAATCCAAGATGACATCAGGGATGGAAAAATAAGTACTTCCAGTTGAGTGCTAGTAATCAAAAGCTGCCTCACCTTGTACCACCACATTCTGGTACAATTACCAGCTTAGGACACCTCCAAACGCAACCTGGATATTGTGTTAGCCTCCCAGTCTCACTCTGCTTCCACTGTTTCCTCCTCTGCAAACACAAAGAGCCTAAGTGAGCTTTTCACATACAAATCTGATCACATCACATCTGCACTGACAACCCTTTAGTAGTTTCTCATTGGTTTTAGAATAAAGCCCAAATCTTCTGGTGGCCCACCAGGCTCTGCATGGTCTGGCTCTGCTTTAACCTCACTTATTACCAGTCTTCTTCCTTTCTGCTGTCTAGCTATAGTGTCTACTTCTTTCCTGCCTGGGAGCTTTTCATATGTCATTCCTGCAGCCTGAAGCCCTCCAGTGACCTGGAGGTCAAGGTCACATATTTTGTTTTTTAGTATGGTCACTTTTTATTCACTTAACTAGTTTCAGTATGTGACTTCCTTAGGCAACTCATTCCTGCAATGCCACAATTGCCTCCTCCCTGACTCCTTGTATTAGAAGATTACATTCATGAAATGGTGCCTGTTTTCACAGCCCTCAACTCAGGTAAAAGGTTTTGTTCATGCCTGGTCCCACCTACTCAGAAGGCTGAGGCAGAAGGATCACATAAGCACAGGAGTTCCAGGCCAGCCCAGGTAACACTGTGATACCCTGTTTCAAAAAGAAAAAAAGCACGGGGGTTGTTTCAATGTAGGTGCATCTCTGACACATGTAAGTAAGGCCTGGGTCAAGAATACAAATAGAGACTCACAAAACTCATGTTTAAATATTTAAAATATAAAGCTCAAGTCAACAAACTGAGCTTTATATTTTAAAAAAGAAAAAGAAAACTAAAATGTTAAAAATGTTTTATTTTTCTCCCTTGACAAATGGAAAACTTCATAATGGTCTGGAAGGCTAGGTTCAAATTTAGATTTTACTTGGAATCCCCAGGGTTCTAAATGAGAATGGATGGTGTGAAGTGAGGCAGCTTTCAAGCACTGTCTCTTAGCTGAAACCAGTTCTCTTCCCTCACCTGATACCATCTTGGGCTGTGAAGGGCTCTGCAAACATGTGGCCATTTGCTCACCCCAGCTCTATCCACAGCCTCCTACAAGCAGCCACCCTGTGGCCACCCTTCATACCCAGTAGAGTGGGCCTGCTGTGGGAGAGAAAACCCAGAAAAGGGTCCATGTGGGCTCTGGAAGTCGTCTTGAGCTTTTCCTTGGGCAGGAAATTCCTAGACATTTAAGTGTGGTTCTGGGGTGCCTGGGGTATGCAGCAGAAGCATTTGGAGTTCTCACACTATGGGATGGGTGGGACTCAGCAGGAGGAAGACCAGCATGACGCCTTCTAA